GGAGGGGCTGCGTGCTGGAGCAGGGGGTCTCCAGCCCTCTCGCGGGTGCTGCCGAGGGGTGCGGGTCTCCCGCCGCGGGTGCTGTGCCCGGCCCCGGGGTGTTGGGGAGGAGCCGTGCGAATGCCCCCCAAAACCAGGCTCCCTGCGCCCGCTTCTGCGCTCCAGCTCACCCCAAAAGCCAGACAAGGGCTGGATTGAGCCCCCTCCGACGGAGAGCACCCTGGGCTGCTCCCGGCCCTCGCAGCGAGGATGAGGACGGTGCTCCCGAGAGCTGCCCGGGCAAGGCAGACCTGCCAGGCCGGCTCGTCCCGGTGCTGCCGGGCAGACGCATGGGCGTCAGCAGAGTTTCACCAGGTGGCTGGGCTCTAGCTGGCCCCAGTGTTGCAGCGTATCGAGGTCCCCGGATGGGGAAACTGAGGCACAGAATCCCCGCAGCGCACGTGGGAGCAGGGCAGAGCAGAGCCGGGAGGTGGCACCGAGCTCTCAGCCAGCTCACGAGACCCGTGTGTGGCCCGACAAAGCCTCTTGCGAAACACGGACCCGAGCTGGCCCGTTGGCGGAGGGGCTGCGGTGTGTCAGCCGGGGCTGACTCACGCCAAAATCTTGCTGGCCTGGCTGAAAAGCCCCTCGCCGAGCGGGGAGGGATGGGCTGGGGATTGCCCCGGCCTCCGCTCGCACCCCGTTTCCCCCAGCTCAGCAAGTCTGCGACCGCTCGGCATCAGCAAAAAGCAGCCGGAGGGGAGCTGGGTGCTTGCCTGCCTGTGTCAGGGTGCACTGCCACACTGGGGGTGTCCTGGGGGCAGGCAGCCGGCCACCGAGGGGCTGGGGTCCCCTCCCGATGCGGATGGGGACCTGAAGAAGAGAGATCCTCACTGAAACAGGCCATGGGGACCTGTGCCACAGCCTGTGGTTATCCAGCGTTGCCTTCTGTGCTGCTTGGAATACCCAAAAGAGGGGGGTTGTGCCCCAAAACCGTGGCTGGGGGTGTGAGTGGTGGGAGCTGCTGCCACCCAGCCTGTGATCCAGCGTCCTTTATGGGCCCTGTGTCCCTTAGCCCCGAAGTCTTAGAGGCCAGTGACGTATTGGGGAGGGAAGGGGTCAGGGTGACACACCACACACCCCCCCCCAACGCTGTCCCGGTCTCCCCATCCGGAGACGGCGCGTTCTGGCCTGGCCGGCTCTGGCCGCCCGGCAGCGATGGGCGCGGGGACACCGGATCGCGGGGCTGTGCGACACAGCGGGGTGCGGTTTCCCCCCCTTTTTCCAGCGCGCGGGGGGGGGTTTTTTTTGGGGCGGGGCAGCCGCGGCAGTGTCTCCTTCCCCACGGGTGTCCTGTCCCCGGAGCTGTCACCTGGGGGGGCTGGTGGCCCAGAGGACAGCCCTGGGCTGGCTCTTGGGGTGTGCTCCGGCTCCCCACGGCCTCCTGCTCTAACCACCGTCCTCTCCTCTGCCTCGTAGGTGGGCCGATAACTTCAGCGCGGCCGGCTGCGGGAGGACGGAGGAGCACGGCTTCCAGCACCCCTTCCTGCAGGTGAGCCCCCCACCCGGGGCAGGACGGGCCTTGCCGGCAGGGCCGGCCCCCCTCACCCGCCTCTCTCGCAGGCCGTGGGCATGTTCCTGGGTGAATTTTCCTGCCTGGGGGTCTTTTACCTGCTGGTGTGGAGGGATCGGCGGAGGCCGGAGCCCAGCATGGCCCCATCGCAGCCCTTCAGCCCGCTGCTCTTCCTGCCCCCAGCCCTCTGCGACATGACTGGGACCAGCATCATGTACGTGGGTAAGTGCCGGGGGACGGGGACGCCGCCTCCGTCCGTCCGTCGTCCCCCCCCGCCTTGCCCTGTGGGGACCTGGCCATCCCTGGGGCCGGATTAGGCTCTCGGGCCGCAGGACTCCACGGTGCATTCGTTTTTTGGGGGGGGTGATGACCCCCGAAGCCGGTTAGAGGGGTCTGAGCAAACACCTCCCATCCGCGCAGCAAGTTGTGGCGGGGCTCAGTAAGCCTTGGGGGGCACAGGGTTCACGTGGAGCTGCGTCTTGGCACGAGCCTGTCTGCTGCCAGCTCTAAGTAGGAGTGGGGGGGACACGCACACACAGCGTCGCTGCCCCTTCCTCCCGTTAATCACTGATCTGCTCTTAATTACCGCAGCGGACTGTTAAGCAGAGGGGCGGTGGCGTTAGCCGGCTCTGGCGGCGTACGCGACTCACGGGTCCGTCTCTCCCCACGCAGCCCTGAACATGACCAGCGCCTCCAGCTTCCAGATGCTGCGAGGATCCGTCATCGTCTTCACCGGGCTCCTCTCCGTGGCCTTCCTGGGCCGCAAGCTGGAGCTGAGCCAGTGGCTGGGCATCCTGGTCACCATCGTGGGGCTGGTGGTGGTGGGGCTGGCTGACCTGCGCAGCTCCCAGGACCAGAAACACAAGCTCAGCGAGGTGATCACCGGTACGTGGTGGCCCTGGGGGGAGGTGGGATGGCCACGGGGGGAAATAACTCCCCACAGGGTGTGTACCTGGCTCTCCGGGCATGGCTCTGCCGCGCTGCCCATCCGGTGGGCGGGGAGATGGGGGCTTCCTCCTCTCCCCTTCCTCCTCTCCCCTTCCTCCTCTCCCCTTCCTCCTCTCCCCTTCCTCCTCTCCCCTTCCTCCTCTCCCCTTCCTCCTCTCCCCTTCCTCCTCTCCCCTTCCTCCTCTCCCCTTCCTCCTCTCCCCTTCCTCCTCTCCCCTTCCTCCTCTCCCCTTCCTCCTCTCCCCTTCCTCCTCTCCCCTTCCTCCTCTCCCCTTCCTCCTCTCCCCTTCCTCCTCTCCCCTTCCTCCTCTCCCCTTCCTCCTCTCCCCTTCCTCCTCTCCCCTTCCTCCTCTCCCCTTCCTCCTCTCCCCTTCCTCCTCTCCCCTTCCTCCTCTCCCCTTCCTCCTCTCCCCTTCCTCCTCTCCCCTCCCCGCAGGCGACCTGCTCATCATCATGGCACAGGTGATCGTCGCCATCCAGATGGTGCTGGAGGAGAAATTTGTCTACAAGCACGACGGGCACCCGCTGCGGGCCGTCGGCACCGAAGGTCTGTCGTGACATCGGCTGGGGGGGCTGAGCGCTCGAGGGGTGCCGGATCCCGCATGGGGGGGGTGCTTGGTGGAGGGGGGGGGGGACACAGCAGGCTGCAAAAGGGGTGCTGCTGGTGGGGTTTGGGTCCCACAGGGCAGGGAGGGTTAGCTGGAGGGGGGGAACGGGCAGCCCCGGGTGGTGCTTGGAGCCAGCACCCATCTGACACCCACTCGCACCCAGGTTTCTTCGGCTTCATCATCCTGGCCCCGCTGCTGGTGCCCATGTACTACATCCCGGGGGGCAGCTTCAGCGGGAACCCTCGATGGACGCTGGAAGACGCCCTCGACGCCTTCTGCCAGATCGGCCACCAGCCCCTCATTGCCCTGGCCCTGCTGGGTAACATCAGCAGCATCGCCTTCTTCAACTTCGCCGGCATCAGCGTCACCAAGGAGATCAGTGCCACCACCCGCATGGTGCTGGACAGCCTCCGCACCCTCATCATCTGGGCCGTCAGCTTGGCCGTGGGCTGGGAGACCTTCCACGGCCTGGAGATCTTGGGTTTTGGGGTGCTGCTGGTGGGTGCTGCTCTTTACAATGGCCTGCACCGGCCTCTGCTCGCCCGCCTGCCCCGGCACGTGGAGGAGGCCGGCGGGGCG